CTTGTACTAGAAGCCGAAATGTTGCCAAGTGTCATGGATCGCTATGAAAGTTATGACTTTGGGAAAGAATTGCTCTCCCTGCTTAAGACAGCATCCTCCACACCAGGGGCCCATATGGGTGTTTTTACTGGAATGGGACTTCTGTTGGCGAAATACAGGCCTGAAAAACTATTAGAACATGTGAATATGCACGCCAAGAAGATCAATACACATAAAATGATTGCTGCATGTGAGGAGTATCATCTGTGGTTGGTGCTTCGAGTTTTACATGTCAACAACGAAGATTGGCTTGCTGCCGCCACGACGATGATGCACCACCACGTCGATGCCTGGGATCATGACGTTTTCAAGACTGTTGTGAGTCATTTGGGATCCAGCGATTTGGTGTACAACTCCATCTCATTCTACATCCAAACCAATCCACAACTCCTTGACGACTTTCTCACCAGTATGTTTAAGACCTTGGACCCCGAGCGTGTCTTGCTGGAGGTGAAGAAGCTCGCCCCTGTGCACTTTATTCGTCAGTATCTGGAGTCTGCCCAGGAACGCAACTCCAGACGTGTGAATGAGGCAATTAACAAGCTATATATGGAGGAAGAGGACTTTACTGCTTTGCGTGACTCGGTGGAGCGCTTTGACAACTTTGACTCCGCAGAATTAAGTGCTGAGCTTGAAAAGATGGAGCTTTTTGAGTTCCGCAAGATTGCGCTTTTTCTCCATCGCCGTAACAAGCGATTTACACATGCCGTTGCCGTGGCGAAGGAGAACAAACTCTACCAGGATGCCATTGAAACTGCCGCCGAGAGTGCCAACCCGCAGATTGTAGAGGATCTTCTGGACTTTTTTGTTGTGGATCACCCGGACTGCTTTGTTGCGTGTCTCTACACATGCTACGACTACCTCACACCACAGGTCGTGATGGAAAAGGCATGGCTCAACAAGCGTACGGACCTCGCCATGCCGTACTTTATTCAGGTCATTCAAGACTACACAACAAAGTTATCGCGGATGGAGAAGTCCATGATGGACGCCCAACAATTGGCAAAGGAGGCGGCGAGGCGGGCGGGGCCGCTGCATACAGGTGCAAATGACCCTCTGATGATTCAAGCAGGGCCAGCAAACCCAATGGGTGGCGCGATGCCGATGCCAATGCCAATGCCGATGCCGATGCCAATGATGGGTGGTGTGCCGCCGGGCAATTACGGTCCCCCGCCGCAGTTTGACAACAGGAGGCCGTACTAGCGAGGCGGCCTTGGGCTCGCTGCCCTGATGGCATCGAGTGAGTGTAAGCAGGCACACGGGAGGGAGACTGAGAGGGGAAAAACACACGTTTCTATCAATGAGTGGCTTTGATTTCGATGCACACACAGAGACGCAGAGACACAACTAGTGAAGCACTGGAGGGGGAAACGGAGGGAAATGAAATAAAATAATTAATGAACGTATATAAATAAATATATGTGTGTTTTTACGAATGCCCTTGAGGGCGTTTGTTGAGTGGAAATGGCGAAGAAGAAAACAAAAACGGAAAATAAGAGATTTAAAATGAATTTTTCTTCCTCCTTTTCTCCCCCTCCATCAGCAATCAACAACAACAAAAAAGCGGAAAAAAAAAGGAGAGAAAAACAATTGATTTTTTTTTGGTTTTGTTTTTAGTGTGTTCTTTTTTATTGTACGATTTTTTTTTTGTGTGTTTGTGTTTTTTTGTGTTTGGGCGCAAATTGGTGTTTTATGCGGATTAGGCACATAAATATATAAATATCTGTATTCTCTCTCTCTCTCTCTCTGTGTGTGTGTGTGTGTGTGTGTTCTCTTTGCCCCTGCGGCTCACTCGACCGGTCATCAGCCTGTTTGCTGCCACCTCCATTTCTGTTTACATGTGAGTGCGTGTGTGTGTGTTTATTTGTTGGCAAAATCCTTTTACGTGCCCCTCTTCACGGCTGGCAGGAGCCCCGCCGCCACCACTCGAGTTATAGAAAGGCGGGGCGTTGTTTGCACGTAATGCGCGCGTCACCCCGTGGAAGGGGAGGGAACGAAACAGCAGGGGAGGGGGAAGGAATAGTCAACATGCACACACACACACACAAAAAAAAAAAGAACACTGCGAAGAGAAAGAAATAAAAAGGAGGAAGAGAAAGAAGAAGAAGAATAAAAAAAGGGGAGAGGAAAATTCATGTCGAAAGGATGGCACTTGAGGAGGAGATGATGAGAACAGAAAACAAAAAGCCGGGAAGAAAGAGAGAGAGAGTGAGTGAAGACAAAATAAAATGCAATAAAAAAAAAAAGGAATTTAAGGAAAATAGGAGGAATATTTTTAATGAAATGACGGATGTGTCTGTCTTTTGCCATGGGGGAAATAAATGTTGGGTCTCTCGCTTGTCTTTATTTCTGTTTCCTAGACTTTATTCTTTTCTTCTCCTTCTCCTCCTCCTCACATTGCTTTTACATTGACTGCTTTCCAGTGCCAACGTTACGGCGTTCTTGTTTACCTCCTCGACATTTATTTTTTTTTTGGCGGTAATGTCGCTGCCCTTCATGCATCCGGGACGAGTGCTCGTGTGCAGTCATAAATTTCTTGAAGGGACTCACTGCCGCTGTCGCCTCATTGCTTCTCTCCCCCGCTCTCTTTCTCTCTTTCTGTATGTATGTATGTATGTATTGTTGGGTGGGATACATTGTGGTACCTCTTGTTTATCCTTAAAAACAACAACAACAACAAAAAAAAAACAATAAAAGAGTGACTGTCAGTTACGGAATAAACCAAAACAGAAGGGGGAAGAGGAGAAAAGTAAATAAAGAGGAAGGAAAAAAGAAAAAAAAAGAAAAAGAAGGGAAAAAGGGAAGTGTGGTATGTTCAAAAATCAGTACGACACCAATACAACTACGTGGAGCCCCACGGGCCGGCTGTTCCAGGTAGAGTACGCCAATGAGGCGGTGAACAACGGCTCGGCTGCGGTTGGTGCGAAGAATAAAGATTTTGTTGTCTTGACTGCCCTGA